GATCAAAGCCCCAACCATTAGTCACTGCTTCTAGATAATTTTTATTTTCTCAAAAGCAAAATCTCTGCCCACCAACAGACACCATTAACTTCCACTTTTCAGCACGGTGGTGTCACATGGGAGTGTCACAGGGCTGAAGGGACTCGCCACCCCTCCCTTCACACACCTGAACACCATACGAAACACAGGACAGGACGGCTTCCGGACGCTGGCTGCAATTCTGAAATGAGACACAGCGAGGTGAGCCTCCTGAGCCCTGGCCCTCTGCCTGGGCCCAGCGTGGCCCCAAGTGGCAGTGGGGACACCTTCACTGTGCAGGCTGCTGGAGGAAGACACCGTCTGAGAGCGCAGGCTCTGGTCCAGAGGGAGGCTGTGATCCAGGTGGATCTGGGGCCAGACTGCGTGTTCAGGGGCAATACACTGACCTTGGGGCCCCAGGTCTGGGATGCAGGTCCCGCCCCACCTGAGGGGTGAGTCCCATCACCCGGAATCTCACTTCCCCACTGTGGGGTGGGCGCAGAGGCGGCACTCGGGCCCCACGCCCAGGCTCCAGGCAGCGTTACTATTCTTGGCTGTAACCTCAGCAGCTGCCCATTAAAATTCCATTAGTTACAAAGGCTTGAGCTGCAGTTTATATTTCTAATTGTGAAATTAAAATTATCCCTGTAATTTAAGGATAATTGCGGGAGATGCCAGCTGGCGCCCCAGGAGCCGCATTGTTCCCAAGCAGACCTTGGAAAGTCTCCTGAAAGTTCTTGGAACAGGGAAGACAGAGGCATTTGGGGAAACTAGTGTCTGAGGCCGGCAGGTACCCAGGCAGAGGCTGGGGAATGAGCCCACTGAGAGCTCACGTGGCCCCCCCCCACCACACGAACCAGGACCCGCTGGGCCCCCAAGTCTCCTGCTGCTCACCATCCACCATCCAATTCAGACAGTCCCTCCCCAAACACAGCCCCTACCACCCACACCCCAACCAGCAAGACCCCTAACCACCCACGCCCCTAACCACCCACAGCCCAACTACCCACACCCCTAACCATCCACACGCCTAACCACCCACACTCCTAACTACCCACAGCCCCAACCACCCACAGCCCTAACCACCCACACCCCTAACCACCCACACCCCTAACCACCCACAGCCCCAACCACCCACACCCCTAACCACCCACACCCCTAACCACCCACACACCCCTAACCACACACACACGCCTAACCACACACAGCCCTAACCACCCACAGCCCCAACCACCCACACACCCCCAACTACACACACCCCTAACCACCCACACCCCCAACCACCCACACGCCTAACCACCCACAGCCCTAACCACCCACACCCCTAACCACCCACATACCCCTAACCACCCATATACCCCTAACCACCCATACCCCTAACCACCCACATACCCCTAACCACCCACAGCCCTAACCACCCACACCCCTAACCATCCACAAGCCTAAACACCCACACACCCCTAACCACACACACGCCTAGCCACCCACAGCCCTAACCACCCACACACCCCTAACCACCCACACCCCTAACCACCCACACGCCTAACCACCCACGGCCCTGGATGAAGATCCTGAGTGGGAGACGGACCCTGGCCTGTAGGAGCAGCCGCAGCAAACGTTCGCCGGCGTGATTCAGATTCCACGTGGCACCTGCCTGTGGGGAGCCACCCTGATGAGTCCTGGCGCCGCGACCTGCAGGTGTCACTAAAATATCCCCAACACGGCAGTGTGAGGCTGGCTTTTCCGCAGAAACACCTGACGACCAAACCACTCCCAGGAGGAGCTGCTCTGAGCCAGAGCTGCAGGAAACGCGCAATGCCACCTTCTTTGTGTGTTTTTAATGTGTGTCTTTATTGATTTTTAGAGAGGGAGGACAGGAGAGAGCGAGAGAGAAACACCGATCGGCTGCGTCCTGCACGTGCCCTACTGGGGATGGAGCCCACAACCCGGCACGTGCCGTGCCCGGGATCCAACCCGCAACCTTCCCGTGCACAGGACGCCCAGCCACTGAGCCACCCGGCCGGGGCCACTCTTCTTGCTAAAACTTGTCTTCGGAAAAATATTGTTCACTCAGTGGTCACTGATGTAACGTGTGACGGGTTTATTGCTATTTTGAAACGAATATTTTAAAACCTGAGGTCTGATTTCTGATAAGGGGTCTAACAGGCATGAGCACTGGTGGTCAGAACCCGCCGTGCTGGAGCGGCCGGCCCCTGGCCGCCGAG